TTCTGGTAATATAAGCAGTGACCAATGACTGATACAATGCTAAAATATACAATACAACACACTTTTTATATACAATAAGTAAAAGAAAAGAGAATTTGTACATTACACTAGTTTTGCAGCTTGTGTATGTAGTTTCTTAATTAAAATGAGCTGAAGCAACAAACACAACTGCAGTATGTTTTATCACAACTTAATTGTGTTCAGTCCACTTAAACACCCATTTAAGTTGAGACTACATGAATCATCACATTAACTGAAACCGCATTGGTGGATTTTTGATGATAGATTTGATTAATCAAATGAATGAAGTATGTGCTTATTCGCTTTGTTCATTTTACTTAGTTAACGGGATTTTGTACTGAATTCTGTGTAAGGTTTACTAAATCAGAGTTTAAAACTATATGAATTTTACTTATTAATATTATCTTATACCATAGTAATTACATGGTTCTTGAAAGAATAATACAAGCTAAATGAGGTGAACATGACCAGGTCACACATTCAAAGTTAATATTTCATGAAAATGTATGATCTTTAACAAAGAGCTATTTGTTTATGCAATCGCAATTCCTCACCAGAGCAATAACAACAAATAAATGACCAAACACACACACACACACACACACACACACATACTGAATCAGCACTTTCATTCTCTTTCACTGTGCAAATGTGCGTTATGATTTTAGGATGTTATGATTTTATGACGTGGTACCAAGTTATTCTGACATATATACAATGGTATTTCTATGGTATTGTTAGAATGTAACTTCTATGGTAATCCATTACCTGACAGCACCTCTGTAACTACTTTTTTTCTGATGCAACACGGGGCCAATAGTGATTTTAATCAAAGCCTTATGATCCTCTAACCCAAAAGCACTATTCGATTTTCACTATACAACTAATTTACCTCAGATATTGACATTTGTTATTATTATAATTCTTGTATCATCAAAATAACAGCCTAATTTCTGCGCGCTCGCGCTGCTAACCGACAAGCGTGTCACGCGCGTGCCGAATCTCAGCGAACGTGGCGTGACCAGACTGAGAAAACACGTCGAAATAACGACAAACCTCCGTTGTACAACAAAACTGCCTCACATGTGTGGTGTTAAGTCACACGCGCGCGTAGTTTAACGAGTTATCGGCTTAATTGGTGGTGAATAAGAGTTGTTGTGAACGTGATGATGACAGACGGCTCGCGCAGCAGCACCACCATCCGCGGGCGCTGTCAGACAAAAGACTCACGCGTAGCGTAACTTTCATCAAAATGAATAAAACATGCCGCGACCGTGTAAATGTACGGATATGGTTGAGATTACCGCACCTTACCGTGAACTTTACCGCTCCATCATCATCCGCCCTGCTCAAGTGACTCAGTGCGCATGCTATATTCAACAGCGGCGTGTCGGGCCGACCGGATGTGACGGGGACAAGAACAGGAAGAACTTCAGGAGGACGTAGACGCACGCACACTTTACGTGATGAGGATCTGTCATAAAACGAATTAACAATGAAAGAAAACGTTTTATAAACGTTGGTCAAATTTACATATTTATTATATATTTAATATTAGTTGTACTTATTTTATTTGTGTATACGTTTTGGGATCCTTCAGCCTTTAGGGGTCTGTGGCACAGACATATAAAATACAACATTTAAAACACATAAACATTGAATTTATGATGTCTATGGTCTTTGGTCTCTAAAAGATTGAAAAACCCTGCGCTAGATAATTAACATTTTATGTTTATTTCTTTCCACTAGAGGACACTGTTTACCAACTAACGAGACGCGACCGTTACATTCAACGAGATCCACGGGGAGGAGTCGGATCACGATCCAAGGGGTGGAGATGGGAAGGTTTAGGGTTGGGTTTAGGGATCAGGGGGCGGAGTTGGTTAGGTTTAGGTGTATATAAGGTGGGAGGAGTTGGATCTGGATGTGACTCCTCCCCATGGATTTCATGTTCCGCAGTGAGGACCATCTCGGTAATGTTAGTGAATGACCCGAACTAACGTGGATACACCTATGGGATACACACACTTATTAATCAAATATATTTATTACAGAATATATTTAATTCATTTCTCTTCAAAACACAAGTTTTTGCTATGTGATGGAAATGACCGTTTTCTTCCCAGATAGCAAACTGACATTGAATCAACGTGGAAACATAATTATTAATTTATTTTGCGATTTTTGCCTTTATTTTTACAGGACAGGTGGTGGTAGGCGTACATTCTCAAAGAAGAGAAGATCCCATAAAAGAAAGACTAACGTTTTTTTAAGGTCAAGAAACGGACAAAAGGTCAAAAAATGTACGTATGTCATGGGGTCAATATAATTTTTTTTCTTTATTATATTCACAGCACGTATCTAGCTATTTCAATGTGAGCAGATTAGAGTTGGGAGGTATTTTCTTAATATTCAACAAGAGGAACACGTACGTTTGAGGGTTGAATTACTCCTGCTTGAACTGCTTTAGCGGCTCTGAAAATCACACTCGGCTCTCTTTGTTATTATATTCGAGGCCGGGGTTTAAAACACGGTCCTGAGCCAAATCCTGTTTTTTTCCCTCCTCTCTGTCGGCGGCAGGCCTGTTAGTGTTTGTTTTAATGGAAAGCTTTTTCATCACAATCCATGGAACCGTGTTGAAAAGCAATCGGCACTACCTCATTTTTGTCCGGCACTACTTTACCACACAGGGTGTTTAAGACCGTTGCGCGCAGGTACAGAGCCGTTGGCTTGGCAAGGAAATCCTCTGAACCAATAATCCTAGGTAATTTTCATGGCTCGGCAGCAAACGCCCATCTAAATTGTGCAGATGTTTCCCACGCTTGAGGGCCGATTGATTTCTATGCTGGAGGAGGTAATTGTCCGATCCGGTTTGCTCGGACAGCCCGAACTACCGACTCGAGTTTTTTTGTTATTTCTTCTTCACTAGAACAAACCGCAGCGCGACCGTTGCAATTACTCCGCTGAATGTGAAAATCAGCCTTTGGTTCGAGCAGTAATTAGGTAAATTAAACACACACATCGTCCCCTGAAGACTTAAGAAAAGCACGTCCATCCTTTTTAGTTTAAGTGTGTTTGACGATGTGCTTTCTTTCCCTGCAAAACATCAAAGAAACACTCAGACTTTCCGCCATTACGGCTCCAGTCTGTCTTGTTCCCAGTTCCCACACACTGATAGAGTTTTACAGGTGGGGTTTCATTCTCGTTTGATTATTTATCCCGCTTTTCCTCCAGGAGGAACCACAGAAGTCCTGCCAGCTGTGTCCTGCACTGTAAAAAAATATATATGATCAATCAGTTATGACATTTTTACATTGTTTAAACTCATTAAGTTTAGCCATTTTCAACTTTTTGAAACAAGACTCAACTCTTTTAAGTCGGTTTAATGTAATTTAAGTTGAATTACTTAAACATCCAAATTGATTGTACTAGGCTACTTGATATTTTTAGGAACTATTTTTTTTTTTTTTACTGTGAGGTGATTATTAGTCTGAGCTTGTTTATTGATTATTAGTCGAAGCTTTGAAATCAGCTTACCTAAATTTTGTCATTCACTAGATATGTGTGTTGGATTTTGTTTGAGTTGTTGGAAAATGCTCAGAAGACTTTAGAAACTTGTTTCCACCATGGAATAAAAAAGTTTTTATTTTTTATAAACTCGCGAATGCAAGAAAATATCAGAATTGTGATGACAAAAAAGTGACAATTTCTTTTTTTTTCTTCCATGCTGTAAACAAGTTTCAGCAGCAACTCAGAAACAAAATCCAGGTAAATTTATGAATTCTGATTTGTGAATTGCATAATAGCAAGACTTTTTCTCAGAATTGTGAGATGGCCTATATAATGAAAGTCTGAAATGTGAGGAAAAAAGTGGAAACAAAAATAAAAAAAAAGATTTTAGTTGTGAACGGCTTTGAGTGGATTCGGTGTGGTCTGATCTGTCAGGGGTCACTTTGCACTATGTCGACAACATGCTGACAAATCTGTTGGTATGTTATCCTGAAATGATCCCAAAATGAGTAAATAGTTCTTGTAGCCTGTAAAAGCTTGTGTGAGATGAGTGCCGGTGGAAAGTGGGAAAAAACGACTAAATCCCATAGCGTGAAGCTCCATCCGCTGATCTCAGCCTTCATTAACTGCTTGTGTGACTTTCATCAAAGGCAAACAAATAAATGTCAGAATTTGAACTAATTCCCAGCATGCCAAGTGCCAAAGACCCCCCTCTTTCCCATGGAAAAGTTGAATATTAATGTTCTGGGAGAGAGAGGGACCTGGGTAATGTTCTGCCAACCATATTTCGAATGCATATAACTTTAAATTTGACAAGTGGTAGTTGTGTAGCCTGTCAATGGAGAGACATAAATCTCTCACACAAAAAAAAACCTTCATTTGAGTTCTGAAGATGAGTGAAAGTCTCACGGGTTTGGAACAATATCAGGGTAATTAATGACAGAATTGTAATTTTAGTGTGAACTATCCCTTTAAATAGCTACACAGAGCTTGGCATTAGCATGAATTGGCTTCTACAGCCAACTAAAGTCATGGCAGAGCAACATTTTTAAGAGAATCTCGCTGAGCAAGTAAGTTAAAGTTGAACTGTTGACATGTTTATAGTGGCTACATGAAAAATAACACATCTGGTTTAACGGTACAAACATTTGAAGGAAACTCTATCGCCCTCTTGAGTGCTGAGGTTTGCTGCCACCACAGTAGCACAAGAACACATTAAGTGCGTTTAAGCGGACTGCCAAGCGTTCGCATGCTCGCGGAAACTGTGCTTGGCCTTAATCAGCGATTTGTACTTCCACACAAGACCTTTGACAACGTTAAACGGCCACGCGCACGGACTCCAGCTTCATTACGGCCTGATTTTTCCACATCAGAAATAAGCCAAAAGCTCGGCCTTGTTCTTTACTCTCTGAACCTGAGATAGGCCTACACACACACACACACACACACACACACAGAAGTCCAGACACTGCAGGAAAAGTCAGATGTTTAATCATTCAGTACATGTTTTTTTCTCTCTCAGTGCAAAACAACAAGAGTTATTCTATAACGTGTGCTGGTCGTGTACAGAAGATCGTTGTGTGGTTGTGCTCTCAGCTGTGGCCGATAGGTGGCGCTCTTGCTCTCTCTCTCTCTCTTTACTGATGTGATGAAGTGGGACTCGTCCAGGTCAGCAGGAAAGAAACCCAAGATAAACACATAGACTATACAAAAGCCCGTCTGCAAACCCTAGTGAGCTGCATCTGACCTAAATGGCTGATCTGGGTAAAACAGTGGTGTGCGCAGGACACTTTTGAGTTTGACAAGCCGAACAGCTTAAAATAAATGTACAAATATGGGGTAGCTAATGCATGAATAACATTTCAGTCATCTTCAATCAAAAAATAAACAAATATTCAGGCATAAATGTAAGATTTCACAATTGAATTGCATATAAAATTTCCATTAATTAGGATTAGTTTCAACATAAACTTAATGTGATGCATATTTGTCAGTCATACATCAATGCACAGGTATTTCTGTGATTATACTATTAAACTGAGTGTGTTTTAAATGCACAACAACCAGGATTATATTATATATATAATCAATATATTTTACAATATTTTTTGTTCCACGGCTAGCTGCATTTTATCCATGTTCATACTTTTTTAACTGAATACATTTATTTGTTTTACACAATGAACACATTTATGCTGATTCTGAAGTCATGCGTATGCATTTTACTTGTTGAGTTTATAGACACGTAGTGTTTCTTTATAGTGACGTCGCCATCTACTGGCCAGACAGCAGAATACGACTTTGCGTTAGACTCACAATTGTGTTAAAACGTCCAATTCTGTCTTTTTTCTCAAAACAGTGTGAAAAAATTCAGCAACTCGCAATTCAGACTTTATTGTGAGGGAAAAAAAACCTGTATTCTGTCGTCAGGCCAGTAGATGGCGATGTCACTTTGTAAAGAAACATTACGCATTTAGTCGTTTTCACGTTTTGGTCTGTGCGCGAAAAACTCGAAGGAAAAATGTTTTCATTTTTAGCACATCGTTGTTGTGTAAACGCAACTTAAGCTTATTAGTTTGTTACAACGGCGTAATCCAAACGAATGGAAGTTTAATATGCAATTCAAATACGTAAATGTACAATTTTTGAGTGTTGGATGTTTGATTTTACTGTGACTGTCTTGTATGCGAAGGATGCCTTCGGATAGGGAGTCTATGATGCTGTCTAGCTAGGCGGCTCACTAAGTTTTGGGACAGGCTCACAGAAACATGGATGCCAAAGCTGATGAACACACAATGAACAGACAGAGAGGTGGGCATGACTATAGTCTTCTTCATTCAACTGAACCACAAAATACGTCCATTAACAAAATGACTTGTATATATTTCTATATTTATATATCTAAAGTGCATTATAGTACAAAAATATAGAAGGTCAGCAGCACCTTGATACCTTTAAAAAATAAATACACCATTCAAACAAAATAAATTACAGGAATTCTGACACCGTAATAGAGGCATGGTCCTAAAAATAAAAAAAGAATAAAAAGGAAAACGAAAAAGAAACAAAGCAAAGTATTCACAAGGATCCAAATCTGTAGCTCCGCGGAGCTGAAAAATGCTATAGCAGTTTCGTTATTTGTCATTGTCACTGTTCGGGCGCATTGAGAATATTTACAGACAATAAATATTTTCCTCTCACTTTTACAGTGGACGGTAACATGAGCATTTAGGTGTCCATTTCAAAAGTCCTCGAGGATCTGAAACGGAAAAGGTACAAAACTGATTTATTGTTCAATAAATATAGCACTTTTACAATACTTAGTAAACAATAATGCTGTTTGTTATTTAATATATACAGTATATATATATTTTATATGTATTACATGTACATTTATGCGTTTTAAAACTGCAAATGTTATCTTAAAGAGCAACTTGTACTTGACTTAACCCATAAAAATGAACTTTGTTGGTATGAATTAATGTATTTAGGTTGATGTTGTGATGCTGAATATTAATTTTGAGTTGAATAAACCATTACCATTTATTTAAATGTAGCAATTTGTTAGTAGCAAATGGTGCGTTCATGTTCATATTTAAATCGTAATTACGACATTCAAATGACATCTGCAATGTGACCTTTTCTGTGTTTTTTTTTTAACTTACATAATGAATAAATAATGCACATCGGGAGAGTTTCTGATTTATGAAGGCGGAGTAAGCAATTTATTTTGTTGGTATACTTTATTTAGGTTAATTCAGCAATATTTAATAATATTTTCGACTTGAATAAAACCAGTTAATTTAGATGTTATATATTTTTTTCAGTGTATGGCATTTTGTACGTGCAACTTAAGATTGTTTTATTGTAAATAAATTCATCTGAATACAGATGCTGCATCCACTTTTCTTAATCACTCCTGAAACTCAGGGCTTAAACAAAATCGTAATTATGATTTTGTGATTAAACTTAAATATCCGACATGACTTGAACGCACCATGTACTTCTAAAAGGGGTGTAACAATATATCATATCAGAATATATCGCAATACAAACATGCAACAATATTCTAGTTTTTAAAGTTTTCAGAGTTTTAGTGTCAGCACTCCATTAAACTACTGTATATAATGTTGAATATAATGTATAATAATGCATATTAGTGTGTCCTGATAATGCCACATGTCTTGTTACCAGTAAAAGTGGCCTATACATTAGTTTAAATATATCTAGTCAGTGAAAGAGTGCAAGCATTTGTCTAAAATAATGATATTTTCAGCTTCAGGATCATGAATATTGTTACTCTGGTGTCTCTATTGTTCATTGGGTTTCAGCACTAAGTCCAAATGAGTATCGCGATAATATGAGATGTATTGAATCGTGACGTGAGGGTCTCGTCACACCCGTATCTTATCAGAGAATGCATAACGTACCGTTGTCAAAGACTGACAGTGTTTTAGTGCATCGCCCACTCCAGGTGGAAGCCGCTGCCGAACTCTTCCAGTGAACGAGCCCTTCTCTTCCTCTTCTCCCCATCTCTCCTCTTCCCCACTCTTCCTTTCTTCTTCCTCTTCCCGATGGCCTTCATCGTGCTCTCCTTGTAGGTTTGTGACTTGTTGGTTTCTTGCGGGAGGTTTGTTCCCTCCTCGTCCTCCAGGCGGAAGCTGATCGGCAGATTCTTTGTGCCGCCGGCGGGTTTCGGATGGGCGGTTCCCGTTCCCATGGAGACGCCGACTCCCATCGGCACGGCGACGGTGAAGCCACCTCCCCCTCCGCTGCTGACTCCGCCCCTCGGCTGCTGAGCCTCGCGGATCTCAGCCGTATGAACTTCGTGAAGAAGCTCCTGAAGCCACAAGCGTCTCTTAAAGTCTTGCAGCGTCCGGCCCTTATCGTGCATCAGCTGAGCGTGTGTTACCGAACGCTTGCTGGTGGAGAGAAAACCGAGACACAAGTCAGAATTAATGATAATGTACTCAAGGATCAACATAAAAGTAGATCAGTAAAATACAAGGCTGTGTAATAGGACAGACAGATTTCTAAACAGATACGAGCTTTAAAAAAAGAATTAGCATTGGTCACATTTACCTGTCACTCAAAAATAAAAGCTCTCTTTATAATTTAATAGCAACGCCCACTTTACACAAACCAATCAATTCCCAATTATATATGCCGTTTTCAAGTAAAATGGAAAACATGATGTTGTTCCTCAGTGTTTCTGTCTTGTTTTCCAGCACAAATATCTAAACATTCTTAAATCAAGACAGGTACTGGAGCAGCAAAATATGGGAGCTTGTTTCTGCCACTGAATAAAATAATAATAATAATTGCAACTTTTTATGTCACAATTGCGAGAATCGCAATTCTGAGAAATTAAGTCGCAATTGTGAGATATAAAGTCGTAATTATGAGAAATAAAGTTGCAATTATGAGAGACTTTTTATCTCACAATTCTGAGTTTTTTCTCACAATTATGAGAAATAGTCAGAATTGCGAGATAAAAGTTGCAATTACCTTTTTTATTTTTCATTATGTGGCAGCTTTCGTAGCAAAATGACTGAAGATATTACTGAAATTTTTTACAAATTTAGTAAGTTTGTGCTTAAAACAAGAACAAATATCTGCCAACGGGGTCAGCAAAATAATCTCCGTTCAAAGGGAAAACAAGATTATTTTTGTGACCCCATTGGCAGATATTGTTTGATATTTTAAATAGAAAACAAGACAACATTTTTTTGCAGTGTAACATGTTGATTTTTTTCTTTACATTTTCCTTTAACACAAAATAAACAACCTGCCAAATGATCAATGCAACAATGCGAAAACAATCAACAGAAAGAAAATCGAAATAAACTGCAGTTCACTTAAAAATTAACAATAGATTACACACACACACACACATTATTTAGGCATAAGATTTAGAGCCTAATCAAGATTACAATGATCAAGTCAAGCTTGCAGTAAATTCAGTGTGCACCACACACACTTTACAGCACATGTGTTTGACCCTGTGACCTCAGCATTACTAACTGAATGTGTGTAAATCAGTTTCTCAGGCCTCCCACATCGATCTGAGTCTCTTCTTCATTTCATTCTGTTTCCCACGCAAATATTTCAATGTTTCTAATTGCTGCAATCCCGTTACCACTACATGAACTCACACAGACAGACACACTCTCTCCAACACACACAGTCACAAGCACTCACTCTTTCTGACACACACACTCTCTCTCACTCACACACACACACACACACAAACAATCTGTCTCACTCACATTCACACCAATACACAATCTGACATGGTGCCTTCAACCCAAATCCACTGACTGATCAGTGAGTGTTTGTCCTATCGCTCCTGTTCAATGTGTTTTTAGTTTAATCCAGATCCCGCATCCCAAATCTCAGAACCCGGATCTCGCATCCCAGATCCCAGATCCAATCCTCGCATCCTACATTTCACATCCCACATCCCAGATCTCAGAACCCAGATCTCGCATCCCAGATGCCGCATCCCACATCTCGCATCCCAGATCCCACATCCCAGATCCAACATCTCGCATCCTACATTTCACATTCCAGATCCCGCATCTTAGATCCCACATCCCAGATCCTGCATTCTTAGGTCCCAGATCCCACATCTCGCATCCTACATATCGCCTCCTAGATCCTGCATCCCACATCCTGCATCCCTCATCCGGCATCCCTCATCCGGCATTCCAGATCCCTCATTGAACCCAATCAAACCATCAGGAGTGCTGAAGTCCAGTGCACAGGCTTTTTAACCGGGACAGAGGCGTGGATTTTAAACATGATACATCAAAACTGTCACGGGCCGAAAGTGGCAAACGCCAATAATCACAGGCTTGACTGGAGGAGAACTGATGCTTAAACACTCACTGCAATAATTATAATTAATGCTTCCAGTGAGTCTCGGCTTAAATCATGTGTAGGTCGTTCCTGACAGCCTGGCGTTCGGCTCTATGCTACCGCTAACAGTTTTAGATGCTCGGCTCCATCCAAACGTCTTGAAACAATTACACACATCTCAGAGCCGGAGCCCCGCGCCAGACAAAGTGAAGCATGATTCAGTATCCACTCCTTCATCCCGAGGAGACACTCAGGTTAAAAATCACAAGCCGGTGTGACCACAAGGGGGCGCCAGAGGGTACTAATCAAACCAGGACACTGTAGGGAGTGTGTGTATGTTTGGGTGTGTGTGAGAGAGTGAGTAATGTGAGTGAGTATGTACACCAAGAAACTGTCCCTGAAGAAACAGCAAATCATTCATTTTTGGAGTTTAGTAAACATTTTCTTTCGGGAAATACACAGACACACGCACACACACGCACACACACACTCTTTCTGTGTCATAATAAGGCACTAAATGCATTGTTCCTATTGCATTTAATTTGTTGTTTAATCCCAGAGATAAATTACAGATTATCTTTTTGTTAGCTGTTAGTTGTAGCTAAGAGCATAAAAACAATTAATCACGATTAATTCATCCATCCATCCATCAATCCATCAATCCATTTATCAATCCAGCCATCTATCATCCATCAATCATCCATCCATCTATTATCCATCATCCATCCATCATCCACTGGGGATCTATCATCCATCCATCCATCACCCATCCATCCATCTATCCATCCATCCATCACCCATCCATCCATCTATCCATCCATCCATCACCCATCCATCCATCTATCCATCCATCTATCCATCCATCATCCACTGGGCATCTATCAGCCATCCATCCATCCATCACCCATCCATCCATCTATTATCCATCATCCATCCATCATCCACTGGGGATCTATCATCATCCATCCATCCATCCATCCATCCATCCATCCATCCATCCATCCAGCCATCCATCACCCATCCATCCATCATCCATCCATCCATCTATCCATCATCCATCCATCATCCACTGGGCATCTATCATCCATCCATCAATCCAGCCATCCATCACCCATCCATCCATCCATCCATCCATCATCCACTGGGGATCTATCATCCATCCATCCATCCATCACCCATCCATCAATCTATCCATCCATCTATCCATCCATCATCCACTGGGCATCTATCATCCATCCATCAATCAAGCCATCCATCCATCCATCACCCATCCATCCATCTATTATCCATCATCCATCCATCATCCACTGGGGATCTATCATCCATCCATCCATCCATCCATCCAGCCATCCATCACCCATCCATCCATCATCCATCCATCCATCTATCCATCCATCCATCCAGCCATCCATCACCCATCCATCCATCATCCATCCATCCATCTATCCATCATCCATCCATCATCCACTGGGGATCTATCATCCATCCATCACCCATCCATCCATCATCCATCCATCCATCTATCCATCATCCATCCATCATCCACTGGGCATCTATCATCCATCATCCATCCATCATCCACTGGGCATCTATCATCCATCCATCCATCCATCCATCCATCCATCATCCACTGGGCATCCATCATCCATCTCTCCATCTATGAATACTGTGCCGTACAAACAGCTTTTTTTCCAGGCTGGTTAAACTGATCCGGGAGATAATTCCTTGCCAGGCGTGGAACGATGAGTTTTCCTTTCTTTGGAAAGTGTCTTTATTCTTCCCCAGTGTCTCCTGAATAACACTTTGCTCCTGGCAGCTC